CTTGAAAATCATGTTTCTAGTATGTAAAAGTTAGCAATATCCTCATAAAACTATACCTATTATAGTTTTCTAAAAGTGTGCCTCGTTTGTTTTAGAATATCTAGAAAAGGAATCACTTGTTATGAAAGCATAGATTTTTGTAGAGCCTAAGATAGGCACATATACTTTAAATCTAGGAAAAATGTTTAGTTTATACATGTATTACAACAATTTATAGTTTTAAAGATAGAATGCTATTGTAATATATTTTGTATACGGGAGTTCCCTATAAATTTTATAAATCACATATGATTCTACTTAATAAAAGTGTATAATAATCTTTATATATAACACCCGATAGTAGTCGTGTGTTTTACTTGTATTCCCCCCCCTTAGAAAGCATATAAAAGCGTTTTTAAGGGGTATGAACTTACTTGAAAGTTTGAAGATAGCGAGATGGAAAAAAAACCGGGCAGAGGGTTGTCTCGGGAAACGGATTTTTCTCGGGATTCTCAGGAATCTCGGGAGTAAAATCGACCTTCGGGACTTGCACAAAATGACCAGGGCTTCGGGGTAGTGCGGGCATGGAAAACGAGGCAAAACACAAGAAAAGTGAGAGAGAATGAGCAATTTTTCCGGGAACCCTCACATCTCTATTTATAGGAGGCTGGAACCGCCTTGGTACGCGGGGCGTACGCGTACGTCATGCATGACCGAGTCCTCGACTGCCTCGGACTTCAGATGGGACGGGGGGGGGGGGGGTAGGCTCGCATAGGAGCAACGTGGACGATCTGAGGCCAAGGCCTTCGCATACGCGGGGCGTACGGGGTTACGCAGCGCGTAACTCGGATGAGTACACTGACTCCCCCTTCGGATAATACCGAATTTTGAATTAAATAAATATATAATTTATTTAATAAACTTCAAAAATTCATATCTTCTTCATACAAACTCCGTTTTCGACGTTCTTTATATCCTCGCGAAGGTGAGACCATACTCTACAACTTTCGTTTAGATTCCGTCGGCAAATTCCGATATTATTTTTATTATTTATTTATAAAATATCGTGATTAAGAAATTTCTTTAAACAATTCATAACTTCTTTATCTGACGTCGGTTTTTGCCAGACTTTTTACCGCCGAAATACCAATGTCGAGACCTTCGATTCTCGTTTAGGTCATTCCGGCCAAAAGTTTCTTGATTTCCGATTCGAGTTTTTAGTTGTCTGTTGCTAAGCCGAATTTTGGAAAAATCTTAACTTCAATATACGAAGCCGGGTTTGGGCATTCTTTTTACGTACGATCCTGGTTTAATGATATAAAACATAGTAGGTATTTAAATAGAAACTTTTTGGACATTTTATTATCAACGTTAATTTTATTAACTCAAAAGTGGTTACAATACTTGACCTATTAGGCCATTACAAAGAATTGAAATATCGGGTTGTCACAACCTCTCACTTCAGGGTTCCAGCTTATCATGAGTCTCGCATCTCACAAAAGCTTCACAACCCCAAATATTGATGTGGTCCAAATTGGGAACTTTCCCGATCCACGTCTCGTGAGGTGTTTTGGCAACCTTTTTGGTTGGGACTAGATTAAGGATATGTGCGACATTCTCTAAGGCATACCCCCAGAATGAGATTCGTAGCGAAGCTCAACTCATCATGGAACGAACCATATCCAACAAGGTTGGATTACGCCTTTCAGCCACACCATTAACTTGTGGTGTCCTGGGAGGTTTCAATTGTGAGACAATCCCACATTCCTTAAGATAGTCAAGGAAATTTGTACTAAGATACTCACCACCTCGATCGGATCGAAGCATCTTAATGTTCATGCCCAACTGATTCTCCACTTCCTGTTTAAACTCCTTCAACTTTTCAAAGGTTTCTGACTTATGCTTGATTAAGTAGACATGTCCATATCTACTATAATCATTAGTAAAGTCACATAAAAGCGGTTAGCATCCCTTGTGGAGATTCTGAAGGGTCCACACACATCAGTATGATTGAGGTCCAAGAAACCCTCACCCCTAGCACAAGTGCCAGTGAAGGGTGACTTTGTCATTTTTCCAAGAAAACAAAATTCACAATTATCATCTGACTTTAGGTCAAATGACTCCAAGACTCCACGCTTTTGGAGATGGCCTATACGTTTCTTGCTTACATGTCTAAGGCAACAATGAAATAATGATGCTTTATCCAAGTTAATGGAAGAATCAACACACAACACATTATTTCCTAGGTTATCAACTACCGACACAGTTTGATATACACCATCACAAGGTAATGCTTTAAAATAAATAACATTATTAAAGCAAGAATTAATACCACCACATTCATTATCAAACGAAAAAGTAAACCCTTTTTGTACAAACCATGAAAGGAAATAATATTTCTCGCCATTTCAGATGAGTAACAACATTTATTAAAATCTTACACTAACCCACTAGTTAGCAACAAGGAATAAACTCCAATCTTGGTGGCAGGTGAAGCTTTCCTATTCCCCATGATTAATTTTATCTTCCCATGCTCCACATTCTAACTTCTTCTTAGTCCCTACAAAACATAACATATATAAATACCACAACCTGGATCAAGGACCCAGGAATTAGAATGGGGTGAGTTATTATACAATATGGTGTAAATACCTACATGGTTGGCTTTCACTTTCCCATCCTTAACATCATGCAGGTACTTTGGGCAGTTTCGCTTTCAGTGCGACTTTTCATGGTTCAGCCTTTTTAAGGTTAGCAGAAGGAGTGACAAAACCTCTCTTGGTTCCACTTGAAGATGAGCCATCAAGGGATTTACCATTGGTACCCTTCGAAGGGCTCTTCCTCTTCTTTCCTTTACCTTGCCCGATTGCCAAGACAGGGGGCGCGGTAAGAGTAGGAGTGGTAACAACCGATTTACCTTTAAGACCACTTTCAGCGGTCTTCAATAGTCCTTGAAGTTTTTTGATTGTTACTTCCTCCTTGTTCATGTGGTATGTCATTTGGAATTGATCATAACAAGAAGGTAAGGAGTGCCAAATGATGCCAATTGCCAACTCCTCGAGGAAGTTCACATTCAATTTTAGGAAACGGTCCACGTACCTTTGTGTTTTCTGTAAGTGGCCCATGATGGGTTCACCATCCTTCATCCAAGTTTTTATCATGGAGAGATGATGTCATACCTCTCTTGACGAGCACTTTCATGGTAGTGGTCTGATAAGTCTATTTTATGAATATACTAAATTGTACTAAATATGTTGAATTGATGCATAATTGTTGAAGAATGGCACTACTTTGATGAGTTGTTGAACTTTATATGCATGTAAATACTTAGTGCTAAAGTGGGCGGAACTCTCAAGAAAAACGAGCAAAGTGAAGTTAACAAGCGTGGGAGACGAATTGCTAAAGGAGTGAGGAAAAATGGTGCTGAGAATTTTGACCACTCTTCAATGTTTTCATCATATCTCAAGATCTAGAGCTCTTATTAACATGAAGTAATAAGTTTCAAAAACTAGACAAAATTTTCTACAACTTTCATGTTTTGCATTTTTACTAATTCTACCGTTTTCATTACCAAAAAGGGGCAACAAAGATTAGGGACGTCCTAGAACGCGTCTAAGACGCCTCCTAGGACGCCTAACCGTTTTAGGCCATTTTCAAGTGAATATCAATGACGGCAGAATGCCTATAAAATGCCACGAAGGACGCCCAGACGTCCTACAAGATGTCTAAGAGGCCACTTATGATGCCGACGTGGAAAACAACTTCGAAAATCAGTTTTTCAGCACCTATTTAAGGGATATTAAACCCTAATCGACTTGGAACTTCTTCCCTACGATTTTCCACAGTTTTGGAGGGTTCCAAACACATTCAAAGATTCTCCAAACACTTTTTTTATCATTAATTCTGAATCGAAAGCGATAAATGACCAAATTCATTATCATTCAACGTTTGAAGATTGTTCAACCAACGGATCTGCATCAATTCCATCAAGCTCCAGATTTGATTACTTCATCCCCAAGGTTTCATCTATTCATAGTTGATTGATCATCAGACTTCATTGATTTTATGATTCCAAGTTGCTTTGTGAATTTTAACATTAATTCCATTGTTTATATTGAAGTTATGTGTTTTTTTAATCTTATGGAAGGCGAAACCACCTAGGTTACTTTCGGGAATGTTGTAGGATGTTAGGATGAATACGTTTTGATTATTACTTTTATTCTAGTCAATTTTAGTTATTGTTTCATTCTTAAAGTTATGATTTTTACTTATAGTAATTGGAGTTGGGTTTTCTTATTGTGTGATATTGCAACTAAGATAGTGTATTGTTAATTCACTAATCATTCTGAATTCAAGTAGTTTAGGAACTAAGATGATCAGTTGAACCCACGTACATTATTCCGAATTTGTAGTATATATATTCAACATTGTAATAGGTAATCGTAAGACACATTATCGCCAGACCACTAGTTGTTCCTAATCCAGTTAGACATAGGGAGTAAGATAACTAGTTGGGATAACATACTGTGTGCTCAAAATTATTTGTTGCATGCTAATCAACCTTAATTATGTCTAGGTAATTAAATTGGAATTTAAAAGAAGAAAAACGTGTAAGTCCAACCATCTAAACAACTGAATCGGAAGTATCTTGTTTTTTTTTCTCTTAGATAGTAGTTTGCTTTAGTAGTTCTTGCATTACCAAGTTTTTAGCTTTTTCATCAACTTTAATTTAAATAATTTGGTGACAATTGCTAGTAGTTTTTCATTAACTATTTTAACACAAAGTTTGACCACAACCTCCTCGTGGATTCGACCCTTACTTACCCTAGCTATCTAGTGTGTGTGAGGTTTATTTTTGACCGAGACAACGACTTCGATAAAAAATTTGGTGTCGTTGTCGGGGAGGTTGTGCGCTTGAATTATTGTGTTGAAGCAGTCTTTATATTTTATTTTTTATTTTTATTTTTTAATTTTAGAATCTTCACTTGTTTACTATAATTTTTTTGTAGGCACGGTGGTGAATGGAAGAATTGAATCAAGATATGTGGTGGGAGAGAGAAAATTCAGGCCAACATCAATGTTATAATGATCTCTACTATGAGTCATATAATGATGATACATGTAATGATCCATATGATAACGATTGTTGGTGGACAGACGATTCAACTCAAAGCCAACACCATGAATCACCTTGTTTTCTGGAGGACAAAGAATCAAATGAATCTTCATTTAGCAAGAAGTTGGATCAAATGTTGGACATGTTGAATGAAACCTTCAACAAAGAAGAAGACAACTCCAAGTCAATTTTGGCTATTGAAAAACAGTTAGAACATATAGCAGAACAATTAAACCAACAACCTTCACACAATATTTCAGACTCTACACAAGGGAATGAGGTAAGTTTTCACTATAGTGATAAAATTGTGCATAAATCAGTTGGGTTATGAGCATTCTAACACTCCTAAGTGTACATGCAACCCTAAATACCTTGGATCTATGTTTTCTCTATTATACATGCAAATATGAACATCCAAGGTATTATCCTAATCTAGCATACAAAACTATCAATATAACAAGATAGAATACATACCTCTTTGATGTAGAATGTCTTCATGAAGCTTGAGTGCCTAGTGCCCCAAGTGTGACACCTCAAATGGTTCACACAACACCAAATACACTTGGAATAACTTGAGAGAATTCTACACTTCATGAAAATCGGCTAGCCCTTTCTTACTCTCACTAGTGGCCGATTTTGGTCATGAATAAGATATTTATATAGTGTTACAATTAGGTTAAACTCTAATTGTCATGACTTTCCATTTCCTTGGATCCATGGGTTCAAATACACCATGGAGCATCCATGGAGCATCATATGGGTTATGGCCCAACTAGATAATCCATGGAGCATTATCCCACTATATAAGTATGGATGATTTATACAATCAACCCATATATTTAATTAGTCTTCTTTTGATCACTTAATTAATCCTAGATTAATTCTTGATCAATACTAATTAAATAATCTTATTATTCTTATTATTAATATACTAGAACTTATAATATATTAATAACCATAAGTGTCTTATTTCTCTCATTATAGTCTATCCAAGTGCATGATGCCATGCAACCCAAATGGACCATGCCGGGTCGGGTCAAGTCTTACCAATTATAGTTATGGACTTAGACATTAATCCAACATTCTCCCACTTGGATAAGTCTAAAACTATTATTGCGTATGACTTCAGGAACCAACTGGCAATCGTAGCTCTCAAAAGCTTCTGTCGAACTCTGACCTTGTAGATGAACTCTTACCTTGTCAATGACTTGTCCATTAGATAAGGGATCATATATTCCTTCATTCTAGATATCATATGGACTGAGACATGGATTATAATCATTCTCTCTGTCCATTTGTTGTTTCCTGATTTTCGATTTATGACGACTGACTAATTGAACAAATCAAATCAGTCCTGGCCCGGCCGAGCACTTCCATTTGTCATCATCAAATCATCGAGGGGCCCACAGATATCGCTTTTATCCCGAAGGTAAAAGGAATGGATAAACTTCGACTCATATGACTTGTTCTACTACTTGTTGAATCATACACAAAGGCACGTTTTATCGCACCGAGTTACCAAATGCGGTTTCGTGCAATCAATGTACAATCAACTCATAGTAACAACTCATATCCCTAGGTTTGAAGAATATAAGATATTATCGTCTCATGATCACTCGTGATAAAATCCATGAAGTGATTCCAATGAGCGCGGGTTGAATCCAATACTCAGAACTTATGAGCACTCATGAGTGTTGTAGCCCTTTTTCCAACACCTTAGACCTCTACAAGCCAACCCATGACAGTCTTAATTCATATCTACTTCCAACATATGACCGACTGTGGATGGTTTGAATAACTTAGTCATTCCGGAAGAATAACCTAGTTTATTCGGGAAGTCAAAACATGCAAAGTGAAACACAATAATAATTGAATCCAATATGGTATCAAAACCTATGAACATAAATAAAACACCTTTTATTTATCACCATATGATTACACATTATTCATTGTATATTGTTTCAGCTATCAACTTTATTCTTGAATTTAAAACAATAGTTGTCCCATGCTCCAAGCATGTACACTATGGGTTTTCTAAACACTAGTCATGCCACACACCAAGCATGCATACTATGTTTGTCTATGATCTTTACTTTGTGAACCAGATCAATTGAACATAACTTCAATGATTCTCTTTTCACACTCCCTAATCCTTACTGCAAATGCAAGAATTCCAAATTCATGCCATTTACTGAAATCTGTTAGATTCTAAACTTATATGCATTGATCCTCTTGTAACGATTATGCACAAATTCACAAAGACTTGGCAACAATCATTACAGAGTATTCCAAAGGAGATCAATTCCTTGGAAACATCCTTCTTGCATTAAGTTTCCTTAATCTTACACAGATTGAAATTTCTGACTTTGAAACATTTCCAGATTCATTTTGACTATCACTTCTGAACAAGAGTTGCCTCCTTACAGATTATGTCAATATGGTCCTTCCAGAATTATCACTATACTTCCAACTGTCCTTGAGCAACCAATCTTTGGTAAACCTTAGATTGTCCTCGACAATTTTTAATCCTTTTAGTCATATCCAGTTCTAAACCTTTTCCCTTCTTAATGCCCCAGGCATTTGGAAACTTTTAGAAAGGATGAATATAGCACATGTAATCGATCCTATATCCGAAGCATATGGGACACGATTCATGATGTCTCACATAAAGACTAAACCAGTCTTTTGCTATAACATTTCCATTTCTATTTGCCAAGTTCTCATAATTCAGATTATGAAAAGGGATGCCGTAATCATAATCGAATTTTAGAACGCAAATAATGGACCCATATACAGAATTTCCTTATGTTGAGCCATTCCAACATGAAATTCATATATATATATATCCTTGACTAAATGATTAAAACCTCACGATCTAAGCTTATAGATTTGAGATGAAGTATAATTTCCTCTCCCTTAATTATAGCAAAACAACTTTTTCCCAATTGAAACCTTTTGTTTTCTATAATTAACATTGCTAACTTGCAATCTTTATCATAATTATCATGCTCCCACTAACATGATGATCATTAGCATAACACTTATGCTCCCACTAGCTTTGACATGTACTCAGAAATCAGTTGAAACTTTTAGAAATCAATACTTTATTGACTTTCTTACCAAAGTTCAGATTTCTTATACTGGATTAATTTTGATAAAACTTTATCAAAAACATACACATTCCCTTAGATAGCACACTCGTGTGTCTAAACAATTATGAAGAGGGATGCCGTAATCATAATGGTTAGACCTTTTTGCCACTTCTCACAAGTCCAGGTTAGTGTGCCGGTAAACCACACACGCTCCACTAACGACTTTGAGAATGCAAATATCACAATTGCTATCTAACTAAAATCTACTTAGTGAAAGTGTTTCCTCACCATCATTTTCATGAATCGGAGAGAAACCTTATGACACTTAGATTTAATGGTGTATGTGTTCTTATCCATGTGAATTGTCAAAACCATAGTCACAAGACAAGGATAATGACAAATCCAAACTCATATGGACTGAACTCAATCTTAATTTCTTGCCACCTGGCAGCTCAAGGGCCTGCCATTGCTTCCAAGTTGTTGTGCAACACATTGAGAACTCTAAGAACTCAACTTTAACTGGAATGGGCACAGAATATGTCAACACGATAGGTTATAAACCTCAAGTCGTGTGCTAGTGAAGAACTTTAGGTTTTATTCTTGATTAGTTCTTGAGACTTTCAAGACCTTTAAGACTCCCACTGTCCTCTTGACCTATAAGACTCCCTTGTCAAACATCCAAGAGATAGTGTGGATTCTAATCAAGACAAACACTTCACACAATTGGCCTAAGTTGGTCTTTGTTTTATCCAAAACATCACAACTTACCAATTTCAAATGTACAAGAGTAGAAAACTTTTACTCTTACATTTGACAAGTGTTTTAAACCTTCTTAAAGACATGTCACTCAAATTACAATCTTGGAGTATGACTCTAAGACTTGTATTGGAACGAAGTATGACTCATCTTCTTGATTTAACCATTTCAACAATTCAAGATCCCTTCTTCTTAGTCATAAGAATGCACTAAGACTTCCTTAGAGAACTAATTTTGATATGGTTTCTTAATCATTAAGATGATCACAAAACTGATACTAAAGTACTCTCCCATCTTTTCAGATTTGAGAAACTTTTATCCTTCTGCCTAATTTGATTCTTCTTATTCGCTCTGCCTTACATTGGAACCTTTTCCAATGTCTCAGAGTTACACTTAAGCTTGTAAGTATAATCATATTTACTGAGCTTTAGTAAACTATGACGAATAGCCTTATATCTTTTGTGGTGGACTTAATCAGTGCACATGACTATGTACTCGATCCCTTAGTCCATTACTTGACTCACACATCCATGTGAACAAGTAATTAGTCTTAATTTTCCAATACTTGAAAGTTCTCATTCATCATGCTATACAACTTGCATGATTCCAAGTCCCGGTCCAATTGAGACTTGGATGATGAGAATCTTTCCTTATTTGGTAAATTTAGACATTACCACAAATGAAGGAATCAATTTCATATTTCCACTCTTGCTATTAATGGAATCATATAAGCAACAATTTTTCCTCAAATGCCATTGTAAGGATATTTTAAAATAATAAAATCAAAAATTTTCTTTTATTTTAAAACTATGCGGAAAAACTTATCCTTACAATCCATATGAAAACTTGTTGTTATCTATTCCTAAGCAATATCTCATAACTCCTAAGAAGTAGCTCAAGAATCCGATTTCAAACTACGCGATAGAAATCCATCTATGCGATCAGATTCAGCATATTCTTTCTTTAAGTTCCTTTACTTTTCTTTGATTCTTAAAACATTACCATGTGACCCAGTCACATCATGTATCAGGAATCTCAGAATAGAAACTTAACAGAGTTAGATAGTGGACTTTACCTGAAGTAGAGTCAAACTTATTGACTTTAACATCCTTAGGTAAATTTGGCAGCTTCGCAACTAATGACCCTTCCTTTGGCAATATAAACATATGGACCCTTTGATAATGGTACACAGGACTATCACAGACTTAGCTTTTCTCTTTACCATTTGTTCAACCGAGTTGACTATGGTCGATCCCTTTCCATTGGGAAGAGAATGCTTTTCTGGATTTCCTGTGTCACTATTGTCAATGTCCATCAAGTTTTAAGGAAGTTGATCTTAACAAATAGATAAGATCATTAAGGGTCTTGTCATAGTCTGTTTCATAGGTGTTCCAAAAGAACTCACTATGTGACTTAGAAAGTAGTTGAACCACCAACTTTCTCAAGACTTTGACACCCTCTCTCCCGGCTTGTCAATATGTGA